GTCAAGCACGTTGACCGAGTACCGCCGCCCGCCCGCGCCCGCGCCGCCGCCTGCCGCCTTCCCGAGCAGCACCCGCTCCTGCGCCGCGTCCCCGGGCAGCGTCGGGTCGGACCGCAGCACGCGCAGCGCGCGCGCCGCCACGTCCAGCCGGCGCTCCATCGGGGCCCAGGCCGCGGCGTACGCGGCGGCAGGGGCGCCAAGCCGGTACCTGGCGGCGGGTGTGCGCGCGGGCGGGGGGCGTCGGGTGTCGGGCGTGGGGCCGGCGCGGCGGGGCCGCTGCCTTGCTCGCGAGCTGCGGGGCAGCGGCCGGCTGGGGCTCGCGTGATCTTGCTGCCAGAACATCCAGGGCCCACTGGCACCCACGTCACCCCTGCTCCCCCCCTTTCGGCAGTTTGTAAACCAAGGCCATCGGCAGCGCCCACCATGCTGCGTCCGTTATGATCCATATCCCCGGGGCCTCTCCCAGGTCGAGGCACCAGTCGTTTATCGGCGCAGTCACCAGCTCGGCCCGCGCGCCGTCTGCGAGGGGCCGCGCGGGCGCGGCGGCGGGCGAGGGCGGCGGCGCCGGCGCGTGATGCGGGCCTGTCGTACCGCGGGTCGGGCTCGTTTTGCTCCGGGCCGCCCGCGTGCTCGCACCCGGCGGAGCGGGGCCCGTTGCTGAATCGTAGGAGGCCTGCAATGCAGCAGGCTGCGTGCGATAGGGCCCCGAGGTGTGGCGCACCCGAGCCGCTGGCTGGCAGAAGGACGCCCGCCGCCACGGCGGCGCAGCTCCTCAGGTTCTCCAGCTGCACCAGCTGGGCATCGTTGCCCGGCGCGTGGATGTAGAAGGCATCCAAGTGCCTCAAGGGCAGGGCTGCGCCCCCTGCAGCGCGCGCGGGTCCGCGGCATTGGCCCGTCACAGTCGCGTGTTCCGTTCGCCCAACAACGCACGACGCCTCGCCGCCTTGACTGCCGGGCCAATGCAAGGGTGTCTGCAGCGAGCCTTGGTATGCCCCACTCACGTGCAGCTGAAAGCTCCACAGGAACAGCCGTCTCCTTCATCGATCAGACGAACCTCCTGGCAAAAAGGTGAAGGAATGGGCCTCCCGCCCCGCGGCTCGCCCCACGGCTCGACAGCGTGAATGAGGGGTATCACCGATATTCACAAGCAAGAGGTTCATTCGTATCAAGGAAACAAGTGATCTCTTCGGATCTGATCATAACAGCGAGGGGAATGAAACGCATTGGTGGCTTGAAAGCCGCACGTACACTCCCTTGAAATCCTCATCATGAAGCACCAATATGCGTTGTGCCGCTGCAGGTGCCGCTGCCACCAGTCAGCATTTGTCAGCAGAGGGGCGACGCCCAGGCACGCGGTACTGTGGCCCCAATCAAGGGGCGGACATCCTGGTACGATGCCGAGGCTGATGCCCACTGCTGCAACCATGGGGTGCACAAGAGCTTGCCATACTGCAGTATCTGGTGGGCCTGCCATATGACTTGGCAGCAGGACAGCCGTATGCTGTGCTGAACCGCTTGGTGTACGACTCACACAAAGCGGCTGCAGCTGCAGACCAGCATTCTCACTTGTTTCGGCAGGCTGTGAATGCGCGGCTGGGTAACTGGTGAAGCAAGTCATTTGCTGCACCGTGTCACCCGCGGCCCGCCTTGGCGGCCCCCGTACACGACTAGTCACTCACCACTGCGCCAAGCCACCCACCCGCTAAACCCAGCACGCAGCCCAGCACTACCTTGCAAAAAAACGCGCGATTTACAATTGCAGAGTAATTGTCTTCCAGCAGGATGGCCTATGAAGACGGCGAACGCGCTGATGGACACGCAGGGGCGGGGTGGCCGGCATCCAGGGGTGCTTGAAAACATCAGGAGCTGCGTCCCATGTAGACGAGCTGCGTGATGCGCACACAATGCGTGGCCCTGAGAAGGCAGGCACCCAGAACATGAGCCCTGCCAAGGAACTGGCCCAACATACGCACACTGGCAAGGGTGGTTAGGGTCAAGAAAGAAGCGCGGCGAACCCCCAGCAAGCAGGATGCTGCTTGCGCAACGCACACAGGGTGCGCAAATCATTCCCGCCAAGGTTTGCTGCCAATATGACTGTGGGGGCTCCCATGGAGTATTGCGGATGTAAAGAGGGGCACAAAGCTGAAGCAATTATGGTTATCCTCGCTGCCTGCCTGCCATGGACCTGGAGTGAAGCTGATTGTTGCGCTGACCACGCGCCAATCGGCCTCGGGAAACGCATTGCGCAACACCCAGCACACATCAACGGCGACCATCAGCCCAGCACTTGGCCGGCCGAGTGTGTTGGCAGGCGCAATCTGGAGGACTGTACGGCCCTTGGTCCATGCGGCAGCTTGATAGCCGCTTGGCGGCCTCCCAACACGACGGTTGGCTCTGGGCGGCTCACTCCAATGCGTGCCAGGCGTGCAGCTCACATTGCCAGGCCGTTGTCCAGCTGCCCAGGGCGGTTGCGGAGTGCCAGGTTCCAGCTTTTCAGGCAATCCCGTAGGCCATGTGTGGGATGCCCCCTGAAACGGCTTCACTCACTCTCTTGCTGTCTCCGTGCCTGCGTACCTGCCACCAAGCACCACCCCCCTCGTGGGTGCTTATCACAGACACGGCCCTCAGGATTACGCCCGCAACGCCCCCTTACAGCCCCCACCCACCCCGTCAGTCCCCGGCGGCCCCGCCCCTGCGACAGACCTGGTACTTCTTCATCTCCTCGTACACCAGGTCGCGCACGTTCTGCTCGGTCAGCTGCGCCTCCTCAAAGTCCAACACAAACGGCTCTGGAACAAGGGGGGTTGGCACGGGACCAGGGCAAGCAGAGTGGGTACATATGTGTGTGCGCACATGCGTGCTCATGTGTGTTGCAGTGTGTGCGTCCGGATGTGTGTGTGTGTGTGTGTGTGTGTGTGTGTGTGTGTTTGTGCATGGATATAGTATCATGTGTTCGAACACGCGTGTGCGAGCAAGCAATGGGGTTTGAGCGAGAGAGCGTGCGAGTGTGTGAGTGCAAACGGGTTGCACGGTGGGGTGAGATGGGTGGTGGAATGGAATTCCGCCAAGCAAGCAAGCGAGTGGCGGCGGTACAAGGGAGCACGTCAGGTGCCGAAGCCCGCTCGCCCCCTCTCAGCCTGCCTCACGCGCACAACCCCGCGCCGGCCCATGCCCCTCCGCATCCGCCCCCGGCCCCCCGCCCCCGCCCCCGCCCCGCGCCGCACCTCCCGCGCTGGGCTCCGCGGCCTCGTCGTGCAGCTGCG